TAGGGAAAGTTTCCCAAGCTCTGATATGACCCACTTGGGACTGCCACGTTTGGGTGGGCACAACCAGCTGCATTTCTTACCCAAACTTGCTGTCTTGCGGTGCTCATGATGTGTAAGGCACACGGAAGGCATTGCTGTAGTCGGTCACTTGTGCTTTTTTTTTTTCTTTTTATTCCGTTTCTCCTCCTCGTATTTGTTCTGAAGATGCTATTTTGATCTGTTTGTAAATTACTTTGTATTTTATGCATGTACTGTAACTTGATTTATTATTATTTTTTAGATTGATTTAAATATATTCATCCATAATTCTAATAAAGAATTACAGGGGACGACTCAGTACGGTTTTGGGTGCACTTTTTTGGGAGAACTGGGATTTCACTTGCAGGTTTCTGCTAACTGGAAGCTAGTCTGTTTGTGTGAAGGCATTGGAGTAGAAGTGCTCCCCGAAAAGGAAGTGGAAGGGTGGTGTAATCCCTGAAAAAGGGTCGTGTAATCCCTGCAAGGATCGTGTAATCCCTCCAAGGATTGTGTAATCCACTGGCATTTCCACTCCAGCTCGGCGTGCAGATCTGGGGCTGCTGCAGGGCAGTAGTCACAGCCGTTTGGCAGCTTCAGGGAGCTCCTGTGGTCTGAAAAGCGGGATCCCTCATCAGCTCCCTGATGGCTTTTCCAAACCTCCTGTTCTCTCTGCTTTGATGGCAAACCAGGTCTTGCAGAAGAGCCACCCACCCCTCTTGTGCAGCTGGTTGTTCCTGAACCTTCTTGCTTGCCCCTCGCCGCTCCACATTGAAGGGGGGATGCCCGTGAGTACTTGCTTCCGCCGCACTCGAATGTGTTTTGGAATTAACCAAATTACAGGGGCAGCTGCTTCCTACGTGTGTCAACAGGAAAGGCAAGAAAGATCTTCCCTTCCCTTCCTTTCCCTCTGCAGCTCGCGTAGGCGCCGCCGCCGCGCCGGGTTTGGCTTCGTGCAAGTGCTTCCTTGTGCGGATCCCAGCTCCCCGCGGGCAGCCCCGGGGCTCCCACCAATGCTCCCCAGCCTTGGCAGAAACAAGGCATGGAAACGTTCATGCAGTGGCTTCAAACCGACCTGCTTCCAAAGCCTTTATAACCGCTGTCCAAAGCAGAACCAAGGGGTGCGTGTACTGAGCTGTAATGTCTCGCTATTAAAGCTGTGTTTCCGTAATGCTTTTCCCTGGCTCTGCTCCGCTGTCCTGGCTCGGTGACCCTCCTGGGAGGAAGACGGTTCCTCAAGAGCGTCTGGAGACCCAACACGAGACGCTGTCGCCGGCTTTGCGCTCGTTCGGCGGCTGGGAGTCGTTCCGGGCTGGCGCCGGCATCACTTGTGCGCTGACGTGTCCGTCCTCTGCTGGTGGGAGGCAGCTCATTGTCATGGATGCTGCTTTTGAGCCCCAATACAAGTTTCTTGCAACTTTACACTGCAGAATTGGTTTTAGACACCAAAGGCTCATGCTGTCATTTGCGTATTCGGACGTCCCAATCTTAACTGCTCAGCAGTGCGCTTTTTTTTGCATTTTATGGGTGTTGAGGTTGGGTCTCTTAAGCAGAAAGGACAGGGCGTTGTTCGCATTTAAAGGCATTTTTTTATTAACCTAGAATTGCTTATTTTATCAGTTGAAATCTGATGATTTCTAAACTTAAAAAGCTTACTGAGTCTGGCTTGTCAAATAGGAGGATTACACACTGAGCTTAGTTTAACAGGATTTTCTTAGACATATGAAGCAGAATTATTGAAAAAGCTTCAAAATGTAACAGGCCACTGCATTGCCTTGGAGTTATTAATTCTGGAAGTGTTTCTACTGCAAATCTGAGCTTGCAACTTACTGACTGGAGTCCTTGGGAGTAGCCAAACCTGCTGTAAGAGGTGCAGTTAACTCCAAATTGCATCATTTTTTTTTTTTTTTTTTGTGAAATCCTGGAATGGTGACTCCAGCCTCTGGCTCATAAGTTGATGCTTCCTGAGTGTTTTTGTGCAGAGCTGGGCGCCCTCTTTGCAAAATGAGCAGGTCTGAGAAACGCATGCTGAGAGAAACCCCGTTTATTTTGTACAAGGTAGCATACCTTTGCACAGTGAACAAATATATTACAAATCTGTCTCGCTTTAAAAAAGTATTGCCATTTCAGTGCCTATTTTCTACACTAATGCTAATATACAAGAATCTACTTGCTTTGCCTTTTTTTTTTTAACATTTATTTCTTTTTCCTGCTAAACTCTATGCACATCACTTCATTTGGTTTCAAAATCTGGCTTTGAACAAAAGCTGAGCACATCTCTGCTGCCCAGAGCCTCCTGTGGATACGTTCAGCAGCGCCCACGGCATCGCTTCACCACCTGCGGAGGCTGCTTGTGCTAGACATCCAGGTAGGTCTCTACCATTAATATTTTGTCATGAACTGCCTTTCTCGTGGTATTTTTTTGAGGTAAGTCTTCCTATATGCGCATGTGAAATAAAACCCTACTGGCCCTGCAAAATAGCGGTCTAGTTACAGCTCAAATAAGGCTTTTCTGGCAAACAAACTCGCTCTCGCTGGTCGCTCAGCGCCCCATGCATGCGTGCGCGCGTGCAGCATTCGGGTAAATAGTCTGCGCTTTCTGCAGCGTGGAGACCTGCTGCTCCGAGCCCTGGGAGGGCTCCGGGCCCCGCGGAACCTCCCGCAGCCGCGTCCCGGCGCGGAGCCCGGCTCCACG